GGCTTCTTCCTTCTTGGAGGTAGCTTTTCCAGATGGACAGTTCAGGTGGTTGTGCAAAAATAGTGAATGAATCTAGTATCTGAGTTTTCTTGCCAGTTTCAAGTCTAGTCATGTCTCTAACCTGAAGTAAAGACGTTCATATAGAAGATATCTGTTCAGTGTTTTTTGTTAGGCTGGAGGCTTTCTTACTGCTGATTGAAAGTCTGTGAAGTGTTTTCTTCACGCCAGTGGAAATGCCCAGAGAGACTTGGTTAGAAAACTTCCTTGTACATTTACGTAAGTAAATGGATCATAAACAAACTTCAGCCTTAAGGTGCAAATTCCACCTGAAACACATAAATAAAACATCTGGGCTTTTAGTTGGTGATCTGCTCATTAATTATTGTTTCTTTATTAAGAAGGTAAAATGTCTGTTAAGGAGTTTCTCTGATTTTTCTAAATTAAATTAAAGATGAGTTCTGCTTTTAGAAACTTAAGCTGGATGTGCTTATTTAATACGATAATCACAAAAAATTAGGGAATGAGGCTCTGAAGGTTAAAGTAATTTCTGTGCCATAAGAAATTGATCAATTGCCATAAGTAATTGGATCAAACAGCATTTTGATGCATATCACAGAATCCGAATCACAAAATCAGCTGGGTTAGAAACTGCATTTGAGATCATCATGTCCTAGTGCCACCTTATCAACTAGACCATGGTGCTGAATATCACACCCAGTCTTTTCTTAAACACCTCCAGGGACAGTGACACCATCTCCCTGGGCAGCCCATTCCAACATCAGATCACCCTTTCTGGAAAAATCTTCCTGGTAATGTTCAACCTAAATGATGCCTGTCCAGAAAAGGAAGACAGGTGTTAAAACAAGGCTGTGTTGATAAAACTGTATTAATATCTGTAAAAGTAAAAAGCTAAAATAAATACAAATAAAAAATGTTGCATTTACTGTTCTTGCCAAATGTGCCTTCTGTATATATTTGGTATAAGTTAGTTTTTCAAAAGTCTTTCAATATTTTGTTTGAAATCCAGTCATTTTGTAGATCATGTACAATGTGCAGGTCTTGTCTTAATTAGGTTTTGTAAACTGATGCTGCTGGTGAGCCAGTCTGAAAGTGAATGTAAGAGCTTCCTTGTGTATTTGGAAAAGGTTTCTGGTCTCCTCATGTTGTAAGAATGTATATCAGCAGCTACTCACTGGCAAGAGGATGATGGAGATAAAAAGCTGTTAGTTTTGTAGCTTTTCATGTTGATGACGTGGTAGCAACAAGTGCTTTTGTCTGCTGGTGCACCACCATAGCACTCTTCCGTGTTCTTGAAGGGCTTGGGTGATGCTGCATTGAATTTTCTGTTCTGGTTACACGAGCAAGTCCTTTGCCTTACTGGGTGTCACAGAAAATGTGTTTCTTGTCAGTTTATTGTAGAGTGAGACAAAAAGAAGCAATGAAGCTCGCAGTGTTTCCGAACTTGGGATTTGCTTGCATGGTGGGAAGGATTTTTAATTCTCTTAGTTCCTGTCGGTCTGGTCCGGATAATCCTGCTGTATATTAATTTGATAAGTCTTCCAATTGTTATTACCTTAGCTCCCTTTTTCTCTCAAAGTGGTGGTTGGAAAATCTGAGGTGGTGGCACCAGAATGCAAAACACAAGAAGAAATTTGTTTTGATTTATGTAGACAGTCCGTTGATTCTCTTTAAGTTCCTTGTGTGGGTTGAGAATAGGACACACAATGTTGACAGCTCTTCCTTCTGATTCAGCCTTCTGCAAGGCTTTCTGCTGCTCCTTCTATAGTTGTGTTTCCTTAAACGCAAATCTCTGTTTGTTCTCTTGTGTATGGAATAATCTACAGACTGTGCCAAAGTAACCTGCTTTGTTAAACCTACCTTGGACAAACAAATGCAGGATATAACTTGCTTTGTGTGAAAGCGCTTTGTGTTTGATTATGTTGAAATTTCTGTTTGTTTTTAAAACTGTTTAAAATAAAAACTTTGTCTTTCCTATCTAGTGCTTGTAATTGGAAAATTATAATATTTGGAATGTTTCCAAACACATGGATGGCTGAAATGTTAAAAGAAGAAAAGTAATTACAGGGAGAAATTTTTCAGAGTCTCACTTGGGCCAAGTCTCTGATAAACAGCAGCGTCTTGTAGGACCAATTGTCCCACACAGAGCCACATTGAAAATTTGTTGTTTTCCTGCAACCTGAGTCCTAGAAATATTTTTTCAATTAAAACTTTTGGGTAAAACTTTCACTTGCAATTCAACTAAATAAACACACATATATATGGCTCCATGTTCAGGAATATATACCAAATATCACTGTATTCAGTGGGAAAGAATCCCTGTTAATCATGTGAGAATACCCTACTTTTAATATTTTCTATATTTCTTCAAATATTCTTTCTATATTTTCGTTTGGTTGGGGTTTTTTTGAGGTGCAGAAAGCACAGGAAGGCAAGGTTAGTACCTCAAACAAGTTTGTTTTAATGTATTAATTTTTTTTTTTATTGAGCAACTTTAGGGTTATTTTGGTAGTGAGTGTTGTATGAATAGCTTTTCCTTGGTAAGGTAAGATACAGAAGGAGCAATGTTGGCTTTATGGACTCAAGCTGTTTTCACATGAGGAAGAAGCACAGGCCATCTGAAATCCTCCAGCGTCACATTACAGATGCAGGAAAAACCTTCCCTACACCCACCTTCATGAGCTTTCCAGGATGACTTTGCTTTCTGTTACACTTTGACGATGTTATTTTCATTTTCAGGCTTCTATTTTTATTAGCTAGAACTTGCACAATGTTCAAATTCTGATGAGGCTTGAGCCAGAAAGAAATAAAACTTGGTTTGTCATGCAAAGAGGATCCAAAATAGAAGTTGTTAAAACAAGTAAAAGGCAGCTGATAACCCTACAAGAGGGAGATGTTAAGTGAGTTGAGTGGTTTAAAGAAGCTGCTATTTATTGCAGTGTTTGTGAAAGCACTTCTGGCAGTCTCACCACAAGGGTTTTTTTAAGAAATTCTAGTTAATTAAAAAAAATAAAACCTAGTTAATTATTATTCATAACTGAACACCAGGAGGTCAGTAATGGAGTATACAATAATGTCATCCTCAGAGTAAAAACTAAGAAGTGCAAGTCCTGTGACAAAGGTGTAGTTTCTGTAGTTCAGGTGATTGCATTTTATAGCAAATTATCTTCTGTGTTCCTATTTGCTTCATAAGATCCTGCAATGTGATATGAACTTTTTTTTTTTTTTTTTTTTTTTTTTTTGTTTTTTTTTTTTTTTTTTTTTTTTTTTTTTTTTTTTTTTTTTTTTTTTTAGGATGACTTTTAATGTATTTTTTGTGAGAGGAATACTCTCATGTATGATATGCTGGGTGTGAATCCAGTATAAAAATAAATTTGGCAGTGAGCATACCAGGACACCAAGAGGTGCATGTGAAACCTACGTGTGGTCTGGAGGTGCTGAAAGTAGCTGTGCCCAAGCTGAGAATAAACCAAGAGTGAGTGGGTGGCTTTTTTAAAGTCCTTTTGTGCTTGGCTGTTTTGCTTCATACTACAGTTTTGTCTTTGTCTTTGGAACAAAAAATTACCCCCAAAAAGCAGCTTCAGTGAGATCCAGAGGACCATGGCATTAACAGGGTGTATGATGGACTGCTCTAATTAAACCCACACTGCATCTGAATGTGACAGCAAGGGATTCACAAAATCATTAGGGGGGAAAAGACAAAAACAAAGCAATTTCCATCTCTTGCTCCACACAGCCTCTGAAGTACCTTCTCCTGGTGCTACTCTGAGTGCTCTGTGTCTTGCTAACTAGAAGATTTTGTTTTACTCTAGGATAACAGAATCATAGAGTTGCTAAGGTTGGAAAAGACCTCTGAGATCACTTGATTCCAAGCTGCCAGCTCCACCTTTCAGCCATGTCCCTAAGCACCACATGGACGTATTTTCTGAATACTCTTCTTCCTGGAAGAGTAATTCCAGCACTTCCCTGCACAGCCTGTTCCAATGCCTGACCACTCCTTTAGGCAGCTCAGAGGGAAAGGTCCCTCCTGAGACTCCTTTGCTCCAGGCTGAGGGTCCCCAGCTCCCTCAGCTGTTGCTCATCAGTCTTGATGAGGAGCTCCACTGCACGTCTCTGGTGCAGCAGCTCAGTGTCTTTCTTGTTGCGAGAGGCCCAGAACTGGACACCGGACTGGAGGTGCGGCCCCATTCCCCCGTTTCCCCACAGCCATCGCCGACCCTTTCGCTCTGCCCGCCCTCGCCCCGGCTGTGCCCGGATTCCTCGGCTGCTCCTCGGCGCTCGGCGGCCGAGTTGGGGACGGTCCGCCGGGGAGCGGCCGCTGCCAGGGCGCTGGGGCGGACAGGTGTCCCCTCTATCGCTTAACTTCGGCTGGGAAAACGCCCTGAACGCGCTGGCGCCTCGCATCGCTTTCGCGGCGTTTTCCCCAGAGGCGGGGGGCGTTCGTGCCGCTGTCCCGGCTGGTGCCCGGCGCCGTGAGCGGCTCCGGGAGATGCTCGGCTCTGTGAGGGGAGCTCCGGGAGATGCTCTGTTGTGAGGAGCTCCGGGAGATGCTCTGTTGTGAGGGGCTCCGGGAGATGCTCGGCGCTGTGAGGGGAGCTCCGGGAGATGCCCGGCGCTGTGAGGGGCTCCGGGAGATGCTCGGCGCTGTGAGGGGCTCCGGGAGATGCTCTGTTGTGAGGGGCTCCGGGAGATGCCCGGCGCTGTGAGGGGCTCCGGGAGATGCTCGGCGCTGTGAGGGGAGCTCCGGGACATGCCCGGCACTGTGGGAGGCTCCGGGACGTGCCCGGCGCTGTGAGGGGAGCTCCGGGAGATGCTCTGTTGTGAGGGCTCCGGGACGTGCCCGGCGCTGTGAGGGGAGCTCCGGGAGATGCTCTGTTGTGAGGGCTCCGGGACGTGCCCGGCGCTGTGAGGGGCTCCGGGAGATGC